TTGGGAAAAAATAAGAGTAGTCAATATCCTTGACTTAAAACCCCAACCCACCCATAGACCTATGAGTGTATAGGACTCCTCCTGTCCAAATCAAATAATCATAAGGACACCACCCGGTCCTAAATTACTAAATAGTAATCTATGAGTTTTGAGGATACACGCCCGATCCTTGGGTACTCCACCCAATAAAACCGAGTTTTGAGGATACCGCTCGATCTTTGGGTACTCCACCCTATATAACCGAGTTTTGAGGATACCGCCCGATCCTTGGGTACTCCACCCTATATAACCGAGTTTTGAGGATACCGCCCGATCCTTGGGTACTCCACCTTATATAACCGAGTTTTGAGGATACCGCCCAATCCTTGAGTACTCCACCCGACCTATGATCTACCACATATCATACTAGATAGGGCCTATATCATAATCAATAAACAAGACTAGACCAAGTCTTAAGGCCTAAACAAAATCATCCATGCAACTCATGCATTAAAATTAGCATATAGGTAAAGTAAGGCCAAACCGGCGCAGGTCAACTCTCGGTTTACCCGCCATTCCAAATCCAATGTGTGTCAAACTTAGTCACAATATGTACTAAGTTATAAATAACTATTTTATGCACATTTCATCTCTAAACATATCACACATGTTTTTATGAGCATTTTCACTTCAAAAATCATGCATATTTCAATAGTTCACTTCATACAAGCCTAATCACTTTAATTGGCTAATTACATGTTTAATTCATTTAAACATTATTATGAACACACATAACATATACTTAGGTAATCTCATGCTTAACCCAAAAGTTACAAGACATTAAGCCATCCACTCACCTCAAATGAGCTTTAAGAAGATTCTACTCACCTTAGTTGAACTCTGGCGAACTCCGGCGAAACTCCGGCGAACTATAGAAACACTTTAGTCAAGCCCCTAACATGGTTTTATCATCATGAAACCCATATCAACACAAATAACCTCCAAAAGGTTATTTTCCGTCAAACCGGACATTTTAACTTCTAAGTCCGTTCTTGGACTTAGAACTACCTTCCAATACCTCATTCCACATTTCTAAACATGTAGAAAAATCCTAGGGGTTCCTCATATGATTTATAATCCATATGGTATCTAAGAGTAGAGGAAAATTTATTATAAGGTCATTACCTTAATCACCACGCTTTTTCCTCACTTTTTCTTCCTTAAGTCTTCCTCCTTGGACTTTGTCTTCTTTAGCTCACTTGGCTAAGGAAGAATGGATTTTTGCATAGGTTTTTCTCTTCCTTTGAGAGGCTTGGTCGAAAATGAGAGGGATAAGGGAGTAGGAATGGTCCTTTTGTCTCATTGGACAAATGAGTGTAGATGGGAGGTCCACCTAATGTCCTTTAGATGCCATCCCCTTCACCTCACCCTCTCTCACCCATCTTCCTCTCATTCCAGCCGGCCAAGCATTGGCTTTAGTGACCAAAAAACGTGGGTTTGCCCCCACACATGTGGGAGGTCAACCCATTAACTCCCGAGGTGTACAATCGGTCCCGAAACTTGTATTTTTCGGACTTTTTGAATTATATTTTATTTTAACGGGTCAAATAAAATATATTATGTGTTTCCCATCCTTATGGACTCTTAGAATGAATACACATTCCTCATCTTTAATTTAGAAGTCTCCGAAATCTGTTTCGGGCTGTTATCTGATAAATTGCCAATATCGGTAGTTGGGCTTCGTTTGACCGACAGGTCAACCCTAAGCCCTTTCTATGGCCCAACTAAAATATAGAACATCATATAAATATTATCTAGACCAAGATGGATATAATATGTGGTCCCGGAATTATCGGGTGGTCCCCGCTCCCGATGTGGGAACCACGTGCGGTTCACTATTCACGCGAAATAAATAACCAAAAATTTACAACCACGTAAATTCATAAATCAATATTCAGGATTTATTACATGATTTACCAAAAGTAAATATACTTGGGGACGGTGTTACAGTGTCTTTTTTTGAAGCCTTTTTACATGGTGTCTTAATTGAGGAAGTCTATATGCGACAACCTCAAGGGTTTATTCATCCTTCTTATCCTAATCATGTGTGTCACCTTTGCAAAGCTCTTTATGGTTTAAAACAAGCTCCTAGAGCTTGGTTTCATCATTTCAGTGGTTTCTTGCTAAGTCATGGTTTCTCACAGAGCAAGTCTGACTTCTCCATGTTTGTTTATCGTACAGAGTGGTGGGTGGTTTATATTCTTTTATATGTGGATGATATTATTATCACAGGCTCTTCTGCTACTTTTGTTTCATCTGTCATAAACAGTTTATCTAAACAATTTGCGATGAAGGATTTGGGGGATGTTCACTTCTTCTTAGGTGTGCAAGCTAAACGCACTCCTAAAGGTCTTTTCTTGTCACATGCTAAGTATATATCTGATCTTTTGCGTCGTTTTCATCTTCATACTGTTAAACTTGTTCGTACCCCTACCTTCACGCACCACAGTCTCTCTCACAGATGGGGAACTTTTATCTGATGTTACTGAGTACCGCAATATGGTAGGTGCTCTTCAGTATCTGACTATTACTAGACCTGATATTACTTATGATGTTCACCTTGTGTCTCAGTTTATGCATGCTCCACGTACTACTCACCTTTTGGCTGTTAAGAGGATTTACAGGTATCTGCAGGGTACAAGCACACATGGTTTATGGTTGCGAGCTGATAAAAATATTTCTGTTGTTACGGCCATCTCTGATGCAGATTGGGCAGGGTGCCTAGACAGCTCACGCTCTACCACCGGTTATGCAGTATTTTTGGGCTCCAATTTGGTTTCTTGGCACCCTAAGAAACAACCGACGGTCTCTAAATCCTCTACTAAGGCTGAGTACAGGGCCATTGCATACACTGTCCAGGATACACTCTTCATCAGATCACTCCTGGAAGATATGGGTATTGTTATCTCGACACCAGTGCAGCTCCTTTGTGATAACGTATCAGTTTCCTACTTGGTCGTTAATCCTATTTAGCATGATCAGAGTAAGCACATTAAAATCGACTATCACTTTGTTCGGGAACGAGTAGCAAATGGCGATCTTGTGGTGAAGCATATTCCTACACAGTTGCAGTTAGCTGATATTTTCACCAAGAATCTATCTAGTCATCGTTTTGAATTTTTACGTTCCAATTTGCACGTGATTTCCCCTGCACAAATTGAGGGGGTGTAACATCGGGTATAACAACAACCCATGTGAAAAAGTTTTTTAAAATTATAAAATTGACCTCGTGTCAATATTTCACATGAGTTATAGGATAACACATGTAGATAAAGTGATATAAAAAGCCTTTTTTGTACTAGTGAGAGTAATATATCTACATATATGTTAACAAAATTAAAAATGTTGATTGTACTTAATTTCATTTTAAATGTGTGACATACAAAATTAAACACATAAAATATCATTTCCTAGCATTTGTTTTCCTTTCTTGAGCATTATCCAATCCTATACCTAAAAGCACTACACTGGAGAGAGAAAATTCTCCCGCCTAAGCAATCTCTGCCTAAAATCCTAAAATGTAATTTCTTTTTTCGAAAAAAAAATCATCATATATCTTCTTATCCTATACCTAAAAGCACTACACTGGAGAGAGAAAATTCTCCCGCCTAAGCAATCTCTGCCTAAAATCCTAAAATGTAATTTCTTTTTTCGAAAAAAAAATCATCATATATCTTCTTATCATATACCTAAAAGCACTACACTGGAGAGAGAAAATTCTCCTGCCTAAATGTGTCAAATTTATATTATGATTTATTTATATTATGATTTATATTCACATTATGAACAAATGTAGGTTTTTGAATTCAACGAAAACAATGAAGTCAATTGCAAGTCATGCAACTTCATCTTGCGTGACTATAAGAGATGATATCACGCAGTTTGGGTTTACCATGCCTCTTTTTGATTTGGACACCGCCGAAGAGGTATGATTTTATATGATTTCCTAAATATCAATCAGAACATAAAAAATGTCAACCTGTCAACTAAGTAACATTGGCAATCAGTAAAAAAACCTTAATTCACATAATGTGGGAAGTCAATTATTGTACAAATAGGATGTTTTTACTTGGACTATAATTCGTCCCAGACCAGACCAGACCAGATCATACCAGACCAGACCAGTTCAGACTAGACCATACCAGACTTGGATAGTTATAAAAATACAAAGAAATCAGACCAGATCAGACCAATTCAGACCAAACCAGACCAGACCAACAAATTATAATCCAAGTAAAAACATCCTTGATGATCTTTATTTAGGAAGAAAACAGTATAGTCCTATAGTGCAACTTATTAATGTTTTACTGTTATTTAAGGAATTAAGTCTATTATTGTTCACTACTAAATTCTCACCTCCAATGATGTGATAATTCTTAATTGTTTCATAGCTAAATCATTCTTATTCTTTGAATTATCATCATGAGGATATTTAGAATTTTAATTCCTTACATATATAACCAAACTTTTCCATTGAATCGTTTTTACTTAGCTCCACATTATCTAATTTTTTCTTCTCTTTTTATCCTATCTAGATTTAATCATTTTTAATACATCTTGAAATTAATTAAATTTATCAAAATAACAATACATTTTACCCTTAAAATTAAAGAAAGTACTCCCCACGTTCCGCTAACAATGGGATAAGAGGGAGTGACACACAAATCAATAAAAAGTGGTTTATGTGATTGATATTGAATTGATAAAGTAAGAATTAAGTATGAATGATTTAAAATGGGACAATCATAGCACGACGGAGGTAGTATAATTTTATCAAGGTTTTGACTTTCATCAAAAAAGGTTTTGACTTTTATAAAAAATTCACATCGAAAATTTTAATATACTCCTCCAAATGTACTTTCAGTTTCACGTCAATTAGAAGTCTCTACCAACAAACAATGAGCAGCTGCCACAAAGATGCAATTATAACTCCGTCACCAACTAACAAAAAGCAGAAGCAACAAAGATACAGTTTCACTCCAATTAGAAGTCCCTGCAGTCACACAAAAGCTTCGCCGTCCATTCCCTCCAGTTAGTTACATCAATTCGATCAAGTGCTCTCCTTCTTGATAGCGGTACGGTGGTTCTACCGTGATCTCGGCTATATACTTTTTGGCAGAGCCGTCTCGCCGTCCATTCCTCTTCTACACCGCTCGCCGCCATTCCGGATTCCTCAAGCACAGGTGAATTACGGTATACGATTTGATTATGAATATTTTCCAGTTACAAAGCTTTGTAATAAGGACTGAGAGAGCATTTGTGTTCTGTTATATATAATATGTTAAAACAGAAGCTACAGTCAGGTGTAGCATAGCGGTTAACAGGTATAATGCAAAGCTGTTGAAACAGAATGCCACAAAGCTCGATCACATACGATAGTTTGTATGTTTTGAAGAACTCTTGAAGCATTTTAATGTTCTATTTGAAAGACTCTTAAGTTCAACTATTTCTAAACACTTCTATGACGGCAGCAACCATAAAAATCTTCTAATATATATATATATATATATATATATATATATATATATATATATATATGTGCAGGCAGTATGTATGGCACGATGAGTAATACAGTCATCAAAAAGCAGCAAACATAAGTATGATTGCAATCTTACCGACTACAAATACTCAACGTTTCTATAGTATGCCGGAGAACAAATATTACTTCCAAATCTCAATTTCAGGTTTAGAAAACTTAACCTTTTTAATACTCCGTATATAAATTTGGAACCCTTCCTCAATATGATTTTTACCTTAGTTTGCTCCGTCGTTGTTATAAATTTGATTATAAGTCTCATGTTTCTTTCAATGTGTTCATATATATTGATATGAATAATACTTCTAATGACCTAAACTTCTTAATAGATAATTACTGCATGTTCAGTTTTTCATTTGAATAGTTATTAGCAAATTTAATATTTTCAATAGTCATCAATACCGGCACCCTTATATATATAAATATTAAAATCATTACTTTTTATTTGAAGCATTACAAATGTACCATACATTGACTCCTCTTCTTTTACAACGAAGACGTGGGATAGTATTTTAATGCCCAAGTTTTATACAAAGTATAATTAATACTACAAAGGTTTTATATATGTACTCCCTCCGGCCCGGTCATTTCTTCCGGTTTTGACCGGTATCGCACATTTAGGTAGTGAGAATAAAGTGAAAATGTATGGTTGTAGTTGTGTAAGAAAAAAGTGAATGAATGTGAACCACATATTTTTTTCAAAAGTGGAAGTTGGAAGAATTAACTTGGGGCGGTCCAAAAAGGAAAGTTGGAAGAAATGACCGGGACGGAGGGAGTATTATTTGTATGATGTTATTTGGAAAACGTGAAAAATAATACGGCCAACTATCATTGTTTCTCTTTTAATATTAAAAAATACCAATTATTGCTATATAGTAACAACTATCCGTAAATAAAAATCAATGATTTCATATAACATGCTATATAGAAGTATAGGTTTGCACACTGATGAAAAACTATGTAATCTTTAATAACTCAGAACGCAAATTATTATGTTTTAATTTGGTGGCAGTGAAAAGTTAATTAGGCAAATTCTATGCTTCATAAAATAAAAAGTGGGGGTTTTGGCTTGCGATGTCTTCAAAATAAAAAGTTCAATTTTTCCGGATAGTGGTATATAAAGGAATCTATGAGCTCAAATCCAACAAATAATCAGAATTAAAAAATATGGGACTTTAATTACCCATAAATTATGATACATATATCTTCAGTATGTGTGTGAACCACATCGTGCACAGTAACAAATAAAAATATATTTGTGCATAACAAATGCTAACTTTGGCTAACAAATTTTTTTTTGTAGGGTTCTAATTGGAAAACACATTCGATGAGGAAATTGACAAAATCCACCATTATAATAGGCAAAAGATCATTTCCCTTAGGTGAAATTGTGCAGAATGCCGACTCCAATAATGAAGATTCTAATCTTGGCATTGCTGACAGGATTCACACTGGTCCTAAAAGACCAAGAGCAGTGGGAACCGAAAATGAACCAAATGCCATTTTCCCTCTTGACTTGAATAAAAGTTCTTCTTTGTGTTCGAATAGAGCACCATTGCAAAACATAACGAACGGTAATAATACTATGAAACGTTATAAAATTTGGTTTTTCCAGTTTAACAATTTATTATTATGTTTTTTATTATTTCTTATTATTTTTTTGTTTAGTCCCGTCGAGAACACTTACTATTGGTAAAAGTTTTGGAGGGACAACTTCTCTATCTTACACTCCTTATCCTGCTGAAACATCACGAAAAAGAGATATGTCTGAGGCCCGTACTACATTCACTTCTGAACAAATTGAATTATTGGACGTTGGCGATGTCAATGGAACATATTATGAAGTAGATAAAAATACTGAAGGTATCAACGATGTTAACACTCATAAATGAATGCAACATTTCAATCCATGAATATAAAGTAATAAATTTTTAAATATATATTATTCAAATAATTCGTGTATCATGTGATTTAATTTTTTTTATTTATATATATTATTATGTGCATAACTAGAGTGTTAAAATGCACATTTCACTACTTATTTTCAGGAGATAGGTGCACAGAGATACCTGATACATTTTCAGATGATGATGGGATCGCATTTGATGGTAAATAAAATTGGTTATGAGTTATTCATCGAGTAGTATTTTTTAACCATCGTTCCTTTTACATCAGCAAAATGAAATGAAATTTATTAATTTATAAACATAATTATTTCTTTTATTTGCAGTGGAAGACGCATCATATGCATTTAATTCGTATGAAGGTATTTAGTAATTTTTTATTGAGAACATTTTAAAGATTTTTTATATGATCATTATTATTAAATAGATTAATGAAATGAATTTAAGTATTTGTGGAATATGTTTGAGATTATTTCTATTTTTCGTATGCAGATTATTTAGATCTGGGTGACAGTACTTACACATGTGAGTATTGTGGATCTCTATTTTGGCATGCTGAAAGAGTTAAAAGACATGGAAAGCAAAAACCAAAGTTCTCAATGTGTTGCAATCAAGGAGATGTTGTACTCCCCAAGATGCAAACACCCCCACAGTTGTTAAGGGCTTTGATATTTGGCACAGATGAACGTAGTGGACATTTCCTTAAAAATATACGTTCATATAATTCTATGTTTTCGTTTACTTCAATGTGCGGAAAAACTGATGGAAGCATAAATAGTGGCACTTCACCTCCCGTGTTCCGATTGAATGGTCAGAATTATCACACAATTGGAAGCCTTTTGCCAAAGGATGGACAACGACCTAAGTTTCTACAGATGTACTTATCTGATCCAGCTGAAGAGATTGCACACAGAATAAACGCTGTGAGGTAATTTTTACAAAGCAAAATTATTAAATTAACATTAAATCTTCACAATGAGAATTAAATTCGCTTTTAAAAACTTTAAATGATCAGGAAAATGAATTTAAAAAACATTAATTTTAATGCTTCAAAATAGTGCATACGGTTGAGAGTAATAATGTTTTGTACAAATGAAAAAAAAATCATTAGTACAATTGTTTCAGCAACTATTTTCAAATGATAGTTAATTTGTGAGCAAATGTTCTAAACTCTATGTGAACAAATTCAGTAGTTTTAATCTATCTTTAATTGTAATATAATACAATTATTATGTTTTCTTATTTTAAATATCCCTTGAATAGTATCACTCCGTCTGTACCACTAATTAAATAAATATGATGCAGGAATGAGGATGATACCTCCTTGCAATCTTCATTGGTGCAAGACTTGAAAGAAATGCTTGACACATACAATGTGCATGCAAAATCATTCAGAATGGCGAGAGATCGATTTAATGAGTCTAACTCCACCACATTGAAAATGAAACTCATCGGCAAAAGGCACTCAGAAGGCCGCACTTACAACATGCCAAGTGTCAATGAAGTTGCAGCGCTAATTGAAGGTGATTTTGATGTAAACAAAAAAGAAAGAGATGTGATTCTTCAAACAAAGACAGGGGCTCTACAAATTATTTCTGAATTGAACCCGTCTTTCTTGGGTTTGCAATACCCACTTTTATTTCCATATGGCCAAGATGGGTTTAAAGAAGATGTGTCGTTGACGCGTGCAATAAATAGCGAGAGCGAGAGTGGGAGGAGGCGTGTCACCATAAAAGATTTCTTTTCATACAGATTGCAGGAGAGGACTGATGAATCACCTTATCTATTGAGATCAAAGAGATTGTTTCAACAATTCATTGTTGATGGGTATACAATGGTTGAATCATCACGATTGCAGTACATCCGTCTCCACCAGAAACAATTAAGAAGTGACTTATATAGTGGCTTAGCAGACGCTGCTGGAAGAGGAGAAACGGATGCATCTAGAGTCGGCCAATTAATTGTTTTGCCAAATTCCTTCACAGGTAGTGCACGCTTTTTTTTGAAATAATTCAAAATGACAAACAGTCCTACAGAAGCCAACATAAAATTATCATTCACTTCTTTTGTAATTTGTGCAATCCATCAAATTGAAATCCGAAAAAGAACATGTTGTAACAAACCTTCTTTTTTGTGGCACAGGTAGTGCACGCTATATGTTGCAAAATTACCAAGATGCAATGGCTATATGTAAATGGGCGGGGTACCCACAACTATTCATCACATTTACATGTAATCCGAAATGGCCGGAGATTATTCGCTATGTTGATGACAAGGGATTGGATCCAAATGACCGACCGGATATCCTTTCCAGGGTTTTTAAGCTAAAACTCGAACTTCTCATCAAGGATCTGAAGGAAAATAAGTTATTTGGTGATGTCAAAGCAGGTAATATTTAAATTCATGACTGTGTATAAATAAGAACTATGTGCTAAAGTATTAGTTCAATTTCTGGTATCTTCATGAAATATAAAGTAATTAAAAAATGTTTAAAATGACAAACCTTCTTAATGATTGTAGACCAATGTGAAAAAAATTAGCTATATATTTTGGGATACATGCCATCTTTAATTAATACGCAATATATTTAAGGGGATACTTAGGTCAGTCCGGACTGACAAGAGCTGTCATCAGGTCAAGCCTGTCTGAGGGTCTTTGCAGTCGATTTTTTTGATGAAAGTTTGTGAGCATTTTCTTCATGAAGTTTAGATTTTTCACACATACTTTCAGCTTAAAATTCAATTGGAAAGTCAATTAAATAATTCTATGAAAAATACTGCATTTTTTATGCATATTTTGGTGCATTGCATTTCAATAATAAAATTTTTAACTGACTTTCCAATAGAATTTGGATATGAAATTTTGTTGAGATAATTATTGAAACTTCATTATCAATATATTCACACAAACCTTCAGCTTTAGATTCAATCATTAAGTAAGTTAACTAAATTTTTGCAAAACACTGTGTTTTTTATGAATATATTTGCGCAGTGTGTTTCAATGATTTATTTAGTTGGCTTCTCAGTATAATTTTAAGCTAAAATGTTTTGGAGATAATCTAAACTTCATGATGAACGTTCGCACAAAATTTGAGCTTAAGATTCAATCTGAAAGTAAGTTAAAATATTTGTTTGAATGACAATGTGTTTTTTATGCATATTTTTGGGCAGTGCGTTTTAATGATTTATTTTATTAGGTTCTCAATTGAATTTTAAGTTTAAACTTTTTGGAGACAATAAAAAATTCGTGAAGAATAATCTCATCACCAAATATCTTCAAAAACGTCCACCGGGAAGGTCCTCAGATTGCGTCATCCGAATGGCTGTTATGGTCAGTCCGGACAGACAGGAAAATTAGTCATACATGTAGACAGTGGTTCTGGTGCGGACTGCCGGATGAAATGAATTCTCTATGTATGTATGTGTTTAGGCGATTTAGATACGGAGTACTATGTATTTGTGTTTTTGTATATTTTTTTAAAACAGATTTAGAAATTGGCCGCTAAACATATAAATATAGACGACTATGGTTTTACAAAAGTAATGAAATTCATATTATGTTCAGTTTAATTTTGAAATATAAAAAACATTTTCTTAAAGATGAATTATGATGTGAAATACATAAAAAATGTTATGCGATAGAGAACCTATATGTGTATATCCTTAAGCACACATGTCACTTTTTTTGAAAGAACATGTGTCATTTATATATGCAAAAAATATAACAATCACTTGACAATTTTAATTTAATTATCTTATTAATCAAAAACATTTATTTTAATTTTGTTGTGCAGTTGTCTACACTGTGGAGTTTCAGAAACGTGGATTACCACATGCGCACATTGTATTGTGGCTTTCGATGACAGAGCGCAATGCAAACCCATCGGTGATGATCGATAGAATTATTTCAGCAGAGATCCCAGATGAATATACTGACCCTGTGTATTACAATGCAGTTAAAGAATTGATGATCCACGGTCCATGTGGCCCTATGAATGCATCTGCACCATGCACAGAAAAAGGCCGGTGCACAAAGCACTTTCCAAAGAGATTTGTCGTTCACACGACAATGGATAAGCAAGGTTATCCGATTTACAGACGCAGAGACAACGGCAGGTATGTTACTAAGAATACCCACGATCTCGATAATAGATATGTCATCCCACACAACCGTGGCTTATTGTTGAAGTATAGTGCTCACATTAATGTCGAGTGGTGTAACCAAACACGGGCAGTTAAGTACTTATTTAAGTACATCAATAAGGGTGACGATCGGATAACCGTTGAGTTCTCAGAAGCCATAGATAACTCTACTCCAAAAATAATAGATGAAATTAAGATGTACTATGATTGTCGGTATATATCCGCATGTGAGGCTGCTTGGAGAATTTTCGGATTCCATATTCATTATCGAGATGTACCAGTTGAGCGCCTCACTTTTCATCTTCCTGATGCACAGAACGTATACTACAATCCCAATGCATCTATAAGCTCAGTACTGAATAAACCAACAATCAACTCCACAAAATTCACGGCTTGGATGAAAGCAAATCAAGTGTATCCCACTGCCAAAGAGCTGACGTATGTTGAGTTTCCAAGCAAATTCAGGTGGAAGAAAAATACCATGGAATGGGTAGAAAGGAAGAGAGGATTTGCTATTGGACGCATTTATTATGTACGACCTGGAGCAGGGGAGAAGTACTACCTACGAATATTGTTGAATATTGTGAAGGGAGCAACCAGCTTTGAGGAGTTGATGACTTATGAAGGGACCGTATATCCTACATTTAGAGACGCGTGCCACGCGCGTGGTTTACTTAAAGATGACAAGGAGTTTATTGATGGCATTACAGATGCGAGCTTCTGGTCTTCTTCACGGTCATTTCACATTGTATTTGCTACTCTACTGGTTTCAAATGAGTTTTCGAAGCCAGGCTTAGTGTGGCAAAAGTGTTGGGAGTTTTTCTCTGATGACATACTATACAATATTCGCAAGAATACGGGTAATCCAGGTATATTATATTCTAAACCATCTTTTTTTATTTTTAGTGAATTACTCGCTTATAAAAATTTATATATTTTAGTTCTACAATAATTACTTCTCGATGAAATACTTAATTGATTGTCTTACATACATAGCTAATGACATATTAAGTGAGATAAAAAAAATGTACATGATAGTATATTAATATATATACGAAAAAGATCACATCAAGTAGTTTTGCAAGGAAGCCCGGTCCAAACTTGACTATCAGGTGTGATGCCGTTGGAAATTTTTAATGAAATTTTATGAGAACCTTCCTCATGAAGTGTAGATTATATCCACAAATTTTCACCTTGAAATTAAATCAGGAAATCAGTTGAATAAATCATGGAAAATGACTGCATTTTTCATGTACATTCTGGCGCAGTTGCTTTTAAATTTGGTGGTAATAAACTATACTTGATGATGAGAATACTCACAAAATTTCATTAAAAACTATCACCGGGAACTACCTGTGATAGGAAAGTTCGAACGGGGTTTAACGTAACAACTACCTGAGCTAATCATTACTTATATATATGAAAAAGATCATCATAAAAAATATTTTTTGAATATACTAAATGTTAGTAGTTTATTACCTTATTAAAATTATTTATTACAAAATATTTATTTAGGTAATATGAACGATACCTTCTACTATGTTACCATGTACAGTAACGTAGTTTACTATGGGAGTACTTCTTACTATGTTATATATGCCTTTTGGATGCTTTTTCATAATAGTATAAAAAATATACGTAGAGTGAACTTATTAAATTTACTAAATTGACAGAAAAAATCTAAAAGGTTTAACAAATAAAGGTCTATCAATTAATACAAATAATAGCACTTTTACTATTACTTAATTTTTACTATACATTTTCACTTAAAAAATACAAAAAGCTATGCATCTTTTCATGCTGAGTGATGAATTTAATAAAATATACAACATTTAATTACTGAATTAGTAAACATGTTTTCTTTATGTGCATGTTAATTAAAGTTAGAAGTATTGCATGTGTAATTTGGTTGTGATGAAATGTATATATTGTGGAATATTTGATTTATTAGTTTAATCTTAACTAAGGTACTAAAATATTTAAATGCGCTACTGCAGATTTTGAACTGGATAAAGAGAAAATTGAAAAGTACTGTTTATTGGAGATTCAGAAGCTCTTGCAGTCGAGAGGTAGATCATTACGTGATTTTGCTGGCATACCCTTGCTACCTGATGATGAAATGCCCTCGCTTGAAGAAGTTCTCATTCATGAAGAGCTGCGGTATAATAAATCGTATCTGATTGAGGAGCATGCAAAGTTGTTGGCCGAGATGACAGATGAACAACGTGTTGTGTATGATAGGATAATGGAATCTGTAGATAGTAGAAACGGGAAATTCTACTTTTTATATGGCCACGGAGGAACTGGGAAAACATATCTATGGAGGACTTTGTCTGCGGTTGTGAGATCTCGCGGTGATATAGTTCTTAACGTGGCTTCAAGTGGTATAGCATCGCTTCTCTTGCCTGGAGGAAGAACCGCACATTCGAGGTT